GGGCGCAACGACGTCGGCGACGTAGCTGGTGCTCTTTTGCGCGTGGCCCTCCCATGGGCGGTTGCCTGGGCCGTCAATCGAACCAACCAGCGCGGCTTCAGTGAGCGCCGCGGAAGGTTTTTTTCCAGTCGCCTCGGCGAACCATCGGTGGAGGACGTCGTCGGCGCGGTTCGGGCGCTCCATGGCGCGGCCGAGGGTGACCATCCTGATGGCCGCCACGTTGGCCATGCCAGCGGTCAGGCTTAGCGGCCGAGATACGAAAAAGGCCAGAGAGCTTGAGCCAACATCGCTCGCAACGACGGCGGCGCCGGCGGCGTCAGGCGAACTAAACCCAAACAGTGGGGATCTTGTTCCAGATCCCTCCACGTGCCAGGGTGGCCACAGTTTGGGGCCCGTCCAGGCGCCTCCTGCGAGCTAAAGTCAACGGCCATCGCCAGGGGGGACACCTTGTGTTGGGGCGCGCCGTTTCGGTGTTTTCGCAAGCCTGGGAGACAGCGGCGGTGTTGGGCTAACTGCCCCCAGGTAGGGGGGGATCTTGTCTAAGATCCCCCATGCACGTCGAAGCAGAGGGACCTTGTTTAAAATCCCCCTACGTGTCGAAGCGGCCGAAGGCGGGGCCCATCCCCGCGGCCCGTGCGAACGAAAACCAGCGGCCATTGCCACGGGAGTCGCCCTGTGCGCTGGTGCGCGTGAAGCGCGTCGGGGCTGTCAAAAGCCAGGCGGCTCAGTGCGTCAGCGTGTATGTCACTCATGAGCCACTCGTTAGCTGCCCCGTGCAAGGGCGCGCGGGATCCTCATTGGGACCCCCTGCAGCCATGCCAGATGGATGCATTACCCCTCGAGGTCCACCCCCTTGGATCGATTGTGAGCCAGGCCCACCTCTGTTTGTCTTCTGGGTGTGGCCCAGCGGTTAAACCGCCCCTGTTTCGCGTGGAAAACCTTCAGGACAGCCTCGGCCCGGTCTAGTTCGGCCCTGAGCTCCTCGGCGCGCTGCGCTTGCTGCCTGCTCTCCTTCGTGAGCTTCTGGTTCTCTATCTGCAGCTGGTGTAAAAAAGGGCTAGGATCGGGATAAACCGCTCCAGAGCGTTCCGGAGCGCTCTCAGAGCGTTCCGGAACGCTCTGGAGCGGCCGCGGCGCCCAATACATCCTCCAAGCCCGCCGATTCTCAGAGATTTCGAGTTATCCCGATCCGATTTTGTCCCGATCTTCGCGTCGTTTTATGCTGGATCTACTCTGTCTGGTCCCGCGCGTTCTTGGACTTGTCCGAGAGCTTTCCCGCGAGCTTCCTGCTCTTCTCGTGCAAGCACGCCGTGCTGCCTGCTGCTCCGAAGGGAAGCGTCGGCCAGAGCATCGCACAAGTACTTGCGCGATAAAGCCTTGACCTGTCTGAGCGCCTCTCGGAGCTTCTCTTTCACCCGGGGCCTGTCCAGGAACTTCTTCAAGGCCTTCACGCGTGCTGTGTTCCTGTTATTGATGCGTTTGGTCTCGAGCGCCTTTCTCGACGAAACGGCATGACGGCAAGCAGTGGGCTGCTTGAGCCAAGAGGGGCGACGGTTACAAGAATAATGCGGAGAGCGAGGTCGAATACGGAAAGGGTGTAGGAAGAGCGAGAGAGCGAGGGATAACGATGACAGCGGAAAATACGATGAGGAAGACTCAGGGGAAATCAAAGGAACCAGCAAGAAGCCGAGGAAGAGAGAGGAGTCAACACAGGGAGGACGATGGGGGGAGAAATAGCGAAAAGCACCAAGAATTGCAGGGGCTGGACAGCAGGAAGAGGAATGTGAGGAATCCGACCGAGGATAGGTGATCAGCGGAGGGTCGATCAGTGAGAGTGCGAATGGATGCCTCAACGATCGATGTGCAATTCGTGGGTGCTGGGGGGCTGTGTATATATCTAAATACATGTAGTATATGTGATAACTATAAAGATTTATGTATGTATGCAAGCATTTATGTATGCAATCATTTATGCATACATTTATGTATGCAAGCATGTTTATGTGTATTATATGTATGCAAGCATTTCTGTATGTATGTATGCATGCATTTGTATCTATCCAGATCCACCGCCCGCCGAGGCCCCCGAAGATCGATTCCGGGACACCCGGCGCCCCAATTTTTTTCCGGCGCGCGGCGCCCCAACGACACCAGCCGCTCCAGTTTTTGTGGGGGCCTCGGATCCCTCGGCCCCCGCCTCGCGTCCGCCGTGGGTGTCCACTCCTGGCTCCGGGGCTTGGATCGGGGCGCCCGACATGGGTACTGAAAGCATGGGTGCAAGGACCGACAGCGGTCCTCGTTCATTCCGAACGGGACTCGCTGTCCGCGCCGCCGCGGCTTGCGTTGGTTTGCGGCAGGAGGCCGCCTGCCCAACAGCGGCCACTGCTGGTTTGGGACAACATTTGCTGTTGGGCATTGTGCCCATTCTTTCCGTGCCCATTTGGGCCCATAAGTCAGGAGGGGAAGAAACGCACAGACACAATTAATCATCCATCCCAGGAAGATGTGGGCAAATATGGGAAGTGGGGGTGAAGACAAAATCCAAGAAGCTATGAGAAAATATGGGGAATCCTTTTATCTGTGTGTATTCATTTGTGTGCCCTGGGGCCCCTTCAATCAGTGCCCATTCCTGGTTCCGGGGCTCGGAGGCGACGCGCTGCCGCGGCGAGCCCGGCGCAGTCGAGGGCGTGAGCTCCGAGCGCCCTGCGCTTCTCGGCCATTTGCTTCCCGGGCCCCCGCCCGCCCTCCGAGGGCCCCATCGAAGGGCCTCGCGGTCCCTCGTGGGCCTTCGAGCCGGCCAAGCACGCTGTGCACACTGTGGGCGCGTCGGCCCATACGTACATATCTGTATAAATGTATTAACAGACATATATATACACACATATTTGCATATGCACATGTATATGTGTATATGTGTGTATGTGTGTATGTGTGTCTGTATGTCTGTCTGTCTGTCTGTCTGTCTGTCTGTCTGTCTGTATGTATGTATGTATATGTATATGTATATGTATATGTATATGTATATGTATATGTATATGTATATGTATATGTATATGTATATGTATATGTGTATGTGTATGTATGTATGTATGTATGTATGTATGTATGTATGTATGTATGTATGTATGTATGTATGTATGTATGCACATATGTTTTCACATGCATACGGCTGTAGATGTGTATCCGCTTTTCTTTCCGTGTGTATATATAAACAAATTTAATATATAAGTAAATACCCCCCCGGGCCCCGGGGCCCACACCTCCCCGTGACATCTCGGGGACGCTCCCGGTGCCGCTCCTCCAGCCTTTCCGGGGAGCCTACACAGCGCCCCAGGAGGGCCCAAGACGCTTCCCAGGAGCCCCCAGGATATGGATGGTCCAAGACGTTCCCAAGCAGCCCAAGTCAGCCTTCCGACGGCTCTCGAGGCTCCCAGGTGGCCTCCAAGAGACCCAAAGAGAGGTCCGAGAGGCGTCCCGGGATGGCCCGAGCAGACCCACATCGGTGATTTTCATTTTTAAGACATGTTTATGGCTTCTTGCGTTTTCGAGTTTCCAATGGTCCAAGAGCGCCGAAGAGGCTCCCAAGACCGCCTCGAGACCACCCAGGAGACCCTCAGGACGGCCCCAAGACGGGCCAAGAAGACTCCAAGACTGCCGACGAGGCGCCCAGGACAGCCCCAGACCAGCCCAAGATGGGCCCAAGAGTGGGAGCAGGAGGCTTCCAGAGACCTCCGAAAGGCCTCCGGGACCCCCCAGAGGCTCCCAACACTCCGCGGATCCCTGAGAGGCCCCAAAAAGACCCCGACGAGGCTCCAAGAACAGCCCAAGAGAGCTGCGAGAGCCGTCCCGAGAGAGCCCAAAGAGGGTGAAATCGTTGATTTCCCATTTTTTTTTTTTTTTTTTTTTTTTTTTTTTTTTTTTTTTTTTGTTTTTTTTGTTTTTTGTTTTTTTGTTTTTGTTTGTTTTTTAACATGTTTTTCGCCTTCTCACGTTTTCCCGCTTCCAACCCTCGAAGATAGAGAATTTTGAAAGAAGGGAATTTCCCAGAATCTCCTTTTTTTCCAAGTGGGACTCCTACTCGGAGATCCCACACTTCCCCTGACATCTTGCCGGTATCGCGCCTCCCGGCTTCCCGAGGGGCCCCCAAGAAGCCCAAGGACAGCCCAAGACGACCCCAAGGAATCCCCAGAGCGTAAAGAACGGCCCAACACGCTCCCGCGCAGCCCGAGACACCCTTCCGACGGCTCTCCAGGCTTCCAGGAGGCCTCCAGAACCGCCAGGGGGTCCAGAAGATCCCACACCCCTGAGGGGCCCTGCTAACAAAACCTGCGAGGCACAAACAAAAAACAGCGCCGAACTGCGCCGAGGAACTGGAACAAAAATGGGATTCCCACATGTTTGTTCTTTTAGTTTGGCCCCCGGTCTACTCTTGCACAACAGACCACAATTCAGATCCCCCTCACTTCCCAAAAAAGAACCCAGGAAGCCTTTGAGGGCCACAAATCGTGGAATACCTAAAAAGGAAGTTGATGATTTCTGCGTTTCCGCACTCCCCTTCTGTACGATTCCGAGGCTTGCGCAGGGCCTCCAAGGGAGTCCCTGGACGCAAGCAGTGATCAGCATGACATCACACGAGTTGGCCTATCAAGCCCAGCTAGAACTTGAGCGTGCGCGATGCGCGCGCGTATGTTCTAGTATTTACATATATATATATATAAAAATGTATGCATATGTATATATACGTATATATATGTATATATATATATGTATGTATGTTTACACATATACGATATATATATATATATATACACCTGAGCGCGCGCAAAGCGCGCGTATTTTCTAGTACATACTAATACATGTACATGCATACATACATACATACACACATATACACATATATACAGGTATATTTTCAACATCGGTGTGCTGCATATTCGCGTCGGGCGTGCGCCTCCAACACTCGGGCATGGTGCTCGCGTGCCCTGCCGCGTCCCGCGCAGCTGGGCGACGGGCCGGGGCAGGGACGGCATGACGAAGGGCTTCCGCGGCTGCTGCTCGCGCGACAAGGCCGTCGCGCGGGAGGCTCGCTCGCGCCCTCGTGCCGAGTGCCTGGGATCGTCGGCGTAGCGTTAAGTCGGGCCCGTCCCTCGACAGGAGGGATATTCAAGAATAGCCAACCAAACGTATGGGTACGTTTTTACCTAACAGCTTTTGCTGATAGGTTTCTAGTGGGATCAAAAGAGAGCATCTTGACGCCCCAGGGCGGTCTGGGCGGGATCCAGACAAGGAACCGGACAAAAGTGCAGCCCCAGGAATCTTTAGGAATCTTTGAATTCTTAAGAATCCTTAGGAATCCATTCCCAGAACACCATTCCCAGGCCACACTTTGAATGCCCGGAGCCAACTGTAGGCCACTTCGTGTTCTTCGTGCTCCCAGAACACCATTCCCAGGCCACATTTTGAATGCCCGGAGCCAACTGTAGGCCACTTCGTGTTCTTCGTGCTCCCAGAACACCATTCCCAGGCCACATTTTGAATGCCCGGAGCCAGCTGTAGGCCACTTCGTGTTCGTCGTGCTCCCAGAACACCGTTCCCAGGCCACATTTTGAATGCCCGGAGCCAACTGTAGGCCACTTCGTGTTCTTCGTGTTCCCAGAACACCATTCCCAGGCCCCATTTTGAATGCCCGGAGCCAACTGTGGGCCACTTCGTGTTCTTCGTGTTCCCGGAAAATTATTCCTGTACTATATTTTGATTGCCCGGAGCCAACTGTGGGCCACTTCGTGTTCTTCGTGTTCCCAAAACACAAGTCCTGTGCCATATTTTGAATGCCCGAGCTGAGGCAGGCTGAGGCCGAGACAGGCTGAGGCCGAGGCAGGCTGAGGCCGAGGCAGGCTGAGGCTGAGGCTGAGGCACGCCGAGGCAGGCTGAGGCTGAGGCTGAGGCAGGCTGAGGCTGGGGCAGGCTGAGGCTGAGGCTGACGCAGGCTGAGGCCGAGGCAGGCTGAAGTTGAGGCTGAGGCAGGCTGAGGCTGAGGCAGGCTGAGACTGATGCTGAGGCAGGCTGAGGCTGAGGCTGAGGCTGATGCAGGCTGAGGCTGAGAGGCTGACGCTGAGGCTGAGACAGGCTGAGGCTGAGGCTGAGGCCGAGGCAGGCTGAGGCTGAGGCTGAGGGCCGAGGCATGCTGAGGCTGAGGCTGAAGCTGAGGCAGGCTGAGGCTGAGGCTGTGGCTGAGGCTGAGGCATGCTGAGGCTGAGGCTTAGGCTGAGGCTGAGGCCGAGGCAGGCTGAGGCTGAGGCTGAGGCTGAGGGCCGAGGCAGGCTGAGGCTGAGGCTGAGGCCGAGGCAGGCTGAGGCTGAGGCCGAGGCAAGCCGAGGCAGGCTGAGGCTGAGGCTGAGGCTGATGCTGAGGCTGAGGCTGAGGCCGAGGCAGGCTGAGGCTGAGGCTGAGGCAGGCTGAGGCTGAGGCAGGCTGAGGCTGAGGCCGAGGCATGCTCAGGAGGCTGAGGCAGGCTGAGGCTGAGGCAGGCTGAGGCTGAGAGGCTGAGGCTGAGGCTGTGGCTGAGGCTGAGAGGCTATCGCTGAGGCTGAGACAGGCTGAGGCTGAGGCTGAGGCCGAGGCAGGCTGAGGCTGAGGCTGAGGCATTCCGAGGCAGGCTGAGGCTGAGGCTGATGCTGAGGCTGAGGCTGAGGCTGAGGCAGTGGCTCAAGCTGAGGCAAGCTGCGGCTGAGGCAGGCTGAGGCTGAGGCTGATGCAGGCTGAGGCTGAGGCAGGCTGAGGCTGAGAGGCTGAGGCAGGCTGAGGCTGAGGCTGAGGCTGAGGCAGGCTGAGGCTGAGGCTGAGGCTGAGAGGCTGAGGCTGAGGCTGAGGCTGATGCTGAGGCTGAGGCTGAGGCCGAGGCAGGCTGAGGCTGAGGCTGAGGCAAGCCGAGGCAGGCTGAGGCTGAGGCTGTGGCTGAGACAGGCTGAGGCTGAGGCTGAGGCTGTGGCTGAGGCTGAGGCTGAGGCAGGCTGCGGCTGAGGCAGGCTGAGGCTGAGGCTGATGCAGGCTGAGGCTGAGGCAGGCTGAGGCTGAGGCTGAGGCAGGCTTAGGCTGAAGCTGAGGCCGAGGCAGGCTGAGGCTGAGGCTGAGGCTGATGCTGAGGCAGGCTGAGACTGAGACAGGCTGAGGCTGAGGCTGAGGCAGGCTGAGGCTGAGGCAGGCTGAGGCTGAGGCCGAGGCAGGCGAATCCTGTGGAATCCTTAGGATTCCCTAGGAATCCTTTAGGAATCCATAGGAATCCCTAGGAATCAGGATTCCTAAGGATCCCTAAGGATTCCTAAAGATTCCTAAGGATTCCTACGGATTCCTAAGGATGCCTAAGGATGCCTTAGGAATCTCTAGGAATCCTTAGGATTCCATTGGATCCTAAGGCCGTTGCCACTGCGACTGTCATTGCGAATGCGACTGCGACTGCCAGAACAGCAGAATTCTACAACTTGATTCTCACCTGAGTCTTAAGGGGAATGCTTCCAGATATGCTTATACACATCGCTGTTAGGTTGCTTTGCCGGGAACAGTTTTTTAGGTGGTCCTTTTTTCTGTCACTCCTTCCCATGTTTCGTGGAACATCCGCCTGTAGGAGGACATGCCCGACCTAAACGTAGCGTTAGGAGGGAAACATCGGCACAAGCACGGCAACGCTCGGCGGCGCGCCCGGGGAGGCCTCCTCCTCCTCCTGCCCCTCCTCCTTCTCCTTTGCTCCTCCTCATCCGCGTTCTCCTCCCTTTCCTCCGCCTCCTCCTCCCTCTCCTGCCTCTCCTCCGCCCCCCCATCCTCCTGCTCCTCCTCCTGCTCCTCCTGCTCCTGCTCCTCCTCCTCCTCCTCCTCGGATGCAACGCTGCACGAGGCACCAGGCTTGTCCACGGAGTCCTCGGCACCAGGAGCCCCCAAACCAGTTAGGAAGCCGGAGAACAGGCCCCGGCGCCAGATCGTGACTCCTCCTCTTCCTCCGTTGACCCCCCTTCCGCTTTCCTGCGTCTTCCCTGCGCTCCTCCGTCTCTCCCCCGCCCTCCCTGTCGCCCTTCTCCCCCGCTCTCGCTTTCTGTGTCTCCACTTCATCCGTTTCGCCCTCCCTCTCGACCTCGCTCCCGCCGTAGTCGTTTTAGCTCAAGGTGCCTCGTTCCACAGGGGAACGCGTGGATACCGCTAGTCCGCGGCTTGCTATCAGCTGTTTCCTGTCCCGATCAGTCTGCCCTGATCCGAGGCCACAGCACCGCTTTGTGAGCTCCTGCTGGAGCATCAGTTCCCACACTGCCAGGCGTCGAGAGCGATGGCTTGGCGGTATCGTACCCCATGGCGTGCTGCTGGTAGTGGCCAGCGTGATGATGGTGATCGTGGCGTTCGCGGTGGAGGTCGCCCACGTGGAGGTGGAGCGTACTCGGTGTGCGCTGCCTGTGGCCACTGGGAGTACGATTGGTACGGCAATTGGTGTTGCTCGAAGTGCGGAAGAAGCTACCGCAAAGGAGCAGGCCAGGCCGCGGCGGCAGGCGGCAGTGTGCAGGCGGGACAGGCTGCGGACCTCGCGCAGCAGCTCAGTGCCCTGGCCGCCCAGCACCCTGCGATGGCTGCCGCCCTCCAAGCAGCCACTAAAGAGGCTGCCGCCGCGGGGGCTCAGGCGGCGCCGCCGCCAGAGCCCGCCAGTGCCAACGATATGGACAAGAAGGTGGCGGCTCGCCAGACGGAGCTGTCCAAGGAAGTCGAGAGGGCGGCGCGGGCAGAACATTTTGCCCAGACGGAAGTGGAGGCCCGCTTGGCGGGCGTGGTCAGGTACCGAGATGCTCTTCAACAGGCGGAGGCTGCCCACGCGGCCGCGGTGGCAAGCCTTGCTGAGTGCCAGCAGGAGACGCGAGATGCTCAAGGGGCCAAACAGCTGTTCTCCCCCGACGCCTATCGTGAGGAGTGCAGGCGGGAGGAGCGGCGCGTGGCCGAGGAGGCTGCGGCTGCTCGTCGTCGCGAGCCTTCAGCAGCCGCGCCTGGTGCCGAGCATGCTGGAGGTGGAGGAGCAGTACCGCAAGCTGCTCCCGCTCATGTACATGCTCGTGCTGCTGGTGGCGGGGGCCGCGTGGGCGCCATGGGCGCCATGCCGCAGCCTCCGCCCAACCTGGCAGACATGGGCGAGCCTGAACTTCGTGCGTGGTGTCAGTTGCATGGCCAGCAGTAGGACTTCTGGCAAGCGGCTCAGCAGCTGCGCTCGGCGCTCGATCAGGAATCTGATGACATGTATGATGCTGCTTCTGGTATGGGTGCTGAGCGCCTCGGCGAGCTGCGTGAACTCAAGGAGCGTGCCATCGAGAAGCCGTTGCAGAAGTCATAACGCGATCGGCTGGAGGAGCTGCTGTGCAAGCAGGGCAACCAGAAGGCCGCCAAGAGGGCTCGGGTCGTTCGGTCCGACGCGGCGGCGTCCTTCAACCGCGTGCAGCAGCAGTCCCACAAGATACCGCTGCGGTCTCTGTCCCTGGAGGAGCTGGACCTGCGGCTAGAGGAGTTCATGTGCTAGTCGAAGGAGTTGCAGGTGCAGGTGGCGGCGCAGTGGGCGGAGGGGCGCGGTTCTCCTAGCCCACCTGGTCGTCGCGGAGCCCGCGACGCTGAAGGTGCTGTGAGGGCGAGGCCCCAGAGCCGCCATCGCCTGCTGCTTGCACCTCGCACGGTCGAGCTGCTTTTCTGCAGTATCACGAGTTGGAATGCGGTTTCACTCTCCTTTGCTTAGGGAGTGGAACCAATATGTGGTGCTGTTTTTTTCCTCCTTTTGTGAACATCGGGTGTTGAGAGGCGCCTGTAGGCTTGCTAAGCGGTGGTGCAATCAGATGAAATGGCGCCCCCATGTCACCCCTTGCCACCCCGTCCCCCTGGAGGGGGTCTCCATCATGGTGGGGTAGGGGCATTAGTGGGTGAGGGTTTACCTTTCAGGTGTTTCAGGCGTTTCCTGTCGTCGGGTTCCGCCCTCCTGGACCATGGCTCTGGAAACCAGTGGCTGTTTTTTGCATTTGAAAACCAAGCAAGCTGTCATTGCGGTAGGAGTGTGCTATTTAGAGGACGGCCTG